GGTGGGGCTTTAAAAGATGAAGGGTACAGGGTATGGGTGGGCTGTGAAAAGATGAAGGATACAGGGTATGGGTGGGGCTGTGAAAAGATGCAGGTATAGAGAAAAACACAGGGTATGGGTGAGGCTTTAAAAAGATGAAGGGTACAGGGTATGGGTGGGGCTTTAAAAGATTAAGGATACAGATTATGGGTGAGGCTGTGAAAAGATGAAGGGTACAGGGTATGGGTGAGGCTGTGAAAAGATGTGGGTATAGATAGGAACACAGGGTATGGGTGGGGCTTTAAAAAGATGAAGGGTACAGGGTATGGGTGGGGCTGTGAAAAGATGAAGGATACAGGGTATGGGTGGGGCTGTGAAAAGATGCAGGTATAGAGAAAAACACAGGGTATGGGTGAGGCTTTAAAAAGATGAAGGGTACAGGGTATGGGTGGGGCTGTGAAAAGATGAAGGGTACAGGGTATGGTTGGAGCCGTGAAAAGATGTTATAATAATTTACGTTATTGAAGTAGAATATTGAATAAAATGCAATACAGATGTGAAGAAAGACGAACAAATAAAGTGAGAATAAAAAAAAACACACAAGAAAAAAAAGCACAGAACACAGAGGTGAGGTTGTTAAAGATGTAGGTAGAAATACGGACGGACTGTGATAAGAGGCTCCATATTGCCTTTTGAATTGTCTATAAACATCATGTTCAGATCACCAACCAATTAGAATATGTTACAGGTGGTTTTCTAGCAAGCCATTCACTCTGACTGGTTGTCAAAGGATATCAAAAGAATGTGATTTAATTTGGGCACACAAATACTTCGAGGTTTTTAATACACTGATGACTGGAATTCAAATTGACCAGAGCGACATCAGATTTTAATTAGACTGAACATAATGATATAAATTCTGACCAATCATATGAGGGCATTAGGTGCAATAACACAATATATTTACCTAGTGCAGCCATCTGATATATCACCAAATTCATGAATATTGATAGCATGTATAGATTTGGGTTTCAGTCCATCTACTATGCCTTCAATAATGCACTTATTTCTATCGGATTGTACAAATCGTATTACACCCTTGAGTTGACCCTCTTCCAACATGGTTACAGCTGCACCAAGATGCTCCCGACCTAAAATAGAAAAAGTGTAATTTATGACATGGTAAATGTTATGAAAAACACACTAATAGCATATAGAATTCATTTCTAGCTATCTGCATGCATCATAAAGTTAGGCTATGTGACCTGTCATATTGCTGACAGAGCTGATTCATAATGCATGGTCCAGGGCCAGCGTACACCGTATATACAATAAAGTTTTTAAGTCGACTGTCTGTTTGCTTCAATGTTTTGCAAGTATCAGTATCTTGCTTTTCGCCAGCCACGAAAGCCACACTAGAAAAACTTGATCGATGCAGTCGATCGGCACGATGGCAAGCAAATCAAGAAAAGTATTTGTAGATGCAACTGATCAAATTTCACAAAATACATCACTATTGTACTGATTGGCTGGAAAGTTTCTCAGCCAGCTGACTTGGATGGTGATTGGTTTGCTATTTGATTACCCCGGTAGATCTTGCTTGCTTGCTAGAAATGCACTATTTATATTTATATTCCTAATTACAAGGGACAGTGAAAAGTTATACTTATACTACAGTAAGAGCTCATTTTAGAAGCAAGAAAACAATTTACCGGTCATTTCGAAAATTTTCCAGGGGATATGTTTATTTCGGGGAGTATGTTTAATAGATTTTGAAGATTTGTTCGAGGGTATGTTTATTTGGAACATAAAATTATTAGAACATTGGCAAAAATTTTCATTATGTTTTTCACTCTTTGCAATTGTTATGTTTTTCATTTTGTGTTCCAAAATCTATGTAATTTTGAAAATAAAATTATTATAATCTAGGCAATAATTTCATTATTTGTTATTATTTTAATGTTAATAACATTCTCTATGTTTACCATACAATCAGAGAAATCCTGTCCATAAAATTCATGATCTCAAAAACAAGGTGCTAAATGATTTAACCTGCACCCCACCCCACCCAGTTGTATGACAATGTTAAGATCTATATTATGGTTGACTTTATTAAGATTCATGTTTCTGTAAGCAAAATTAAAAGGCTTTCCCCTGATTTCATTTAAGCATTGTTTTTTTGTGTACTGTAAAATATTTTTCTGAGCTGGAATTAATTTTCACTGACTTTTTAGGAGTTGAATGTAAAATACTAGTATAAGAAAAGGGGTATATTCTCTGGATTTTATTTTCACTGAATCATTCCTTCAGCAACGATTGTGAAAATTAATTCCAAGCGGAAATATTATTTAGTATTTTACAGCAATCTACCTCATGTTTATATATCAATCAGGTATATTCAAAGGTCAAATAGTGTCATAATAACATTCAGGTCAAAGGGTAAAATGGGGAATAAGGTCAAAGGAAAAACTGGGAATGATAACATTTGGGTCACATGTAAAAATCAGTACAATAAGTTTGAGAGACTTCGTAATTAAATAATATTTGTTGAATTACCATATTTTACTGAATTGGCTTTCCTTAAGGTAGAGATGCTGTTTACCTGACAGGTATTTTAATTAGTTAATTAGGAAACCAAGATGACCTCCCTTGTCCACAAAACTATATATTTTCGGAAAGCTTATTGTATGAATTATTAAAAAAATTTAGTATTTTTTTTTATGGACACTGTAGTTTGAAATATGTACAAAAATGTGCTTTTTTGGTCAAAAGTGATTTAAAAAAAAATAGCTCCTAAACCATGCTTCTGTTTCCTGTCAAAATTGGTTTATGGGTACATCTGTTTACTATG